GGGAGGGGGTGAGCAGAACTGCAAGCAAACGAGTACATGGCAGCAAGGCATTGGAGGGGTGGAAAGTGGTGTTTGCGACCTACTCATGGGTGTAGAACGGGAAAAGTGGCATACCTTGATAGGTCACGGCCAACCCCATACTCTCCCTGGTGAAAGCGCTGCCTCCCTGCAGTGCAAGGTCCCTCTGCTATGCCACAAGCTCTCTGAAAGGCGGGAAAAGAGAGATCCCTGTTGCCCACCGCACTTGGCTCCCAGTGCTGCTGCTGCAGCTTCTGCTGCCACAAGGGGTGAAGGTTGGAGGAACGGGGAGAAACATAGGCATGCAACAAGAACTGGAGCACGCAAGACGCATGGGAAGGTGCAGGAGTGCATGAAAGCAAACGAGCCAAAAGCAGAACGGAATGGGACGGGTTGGGAGGAGCGTGGGAGGCGAAGGGAGTGTGGCGATGGCAGGCCAAGGCAGTTTGGCAGCGAGCGAGCTTGCAAGTGGGGACTGGGGTAGAGGGGGACGCGGGCATGAGGATGAATGCATTCTAACCACCTACGACTCTACCTACATGCGCTCAGCTGCCTTGTGCCACGGCCCACCATTGCCACACTCCCTCACACTCCCACACACTAGCACCCTTTCCAGAAAATTTTGAAATCGTATTGCGCGCGAACAAAAGCAAGACAAGACAGACGGGAGTGGAGTTGAGAGCACTTGACCAGAAGTGGCTGCGGCTGAACGCTCTGGCTGAACAGCATAGCTTCTCCTCCAACTCTCTCGTCCGTCGCCCGTCACTGAGGCGCGTCACTCGCAATCCGCCGCCCGCCGTTCGGCACGCGTCGTTGCTCGCTGCTCACTCGTTCACCGTGCGTCGTTGCTCGCAGCTCGCTCGTTCGGCGTGCATTGTTGCTTGCGGGTCGCTCGGTCAATATGGCCGAGGCCCGTCACTCGCCATCCGTCACTCGCCATCCGTCACTGGGAAGCAACAGAGGTGGAATCAAGGTGGCAATAGAGCAGAAGCTGTGAAGAGCGAGAAATGAGAAACTTGGAAATGGAGCACAACGAAAATGGAGTGGTTGGATCGTGGTGGGAGGGGGAAAGGGGAAGGCGCATGGCGACAGTGGCCCACGGCGCTACAGCAGCGAGCTGAGCCAGCGAGGGGGGACTGGGGTAGAGAGGGACGCACGCATGGCATGAATGTACTCCCTCTCCCACTAATCTCTCCCACCACTCCCACTGCACTGCACTCTACATGAGCTCTGCTGCCATAGCACCATGGACCACCACCACCATACGCCAAGAAACTAATGTGCCTTGAGATTTGCTAAGAGTGAAAGAGACGGATGGTGAGCAATGGAGGACGGGGGGGGGCGAGGAAACTTAGCTAAGGAGAAGTGTAGGGGTTGAATGTCACTCGTCCGAGGGAGGAGCAGCAAGCAGCAGCATCACCGTTCCGCACACCGTCGCACGCAGCTCGACGGCGTCCCGCGAACTGTTTCACGCAGCACGCCATTCCGCACGTCGCCGATGCCGCCCAGTAACTCGCCATTCCGCACGTCGCCGCCCAGTAACTCGCCATTTCGCACGTTGCCGCCCAGTAACTCTCCATTCTGCATGTCGCCGCCCAGTAAGTCGCCATTCCGCACGTCGCCGCCCAGTAACTCGCCATTCCGCACAATGCCTCACGCAACTCGTCGCCGTTTCGCACACCGTCGCGTCACCGTTCTGCACATCGTCGCACCCAGCTCGTTGCAATTCCTCCTGCACTCCATTCGACCTGAGGCCAGAAGATGGATGGGGAATAAGGCACGGCGGGAAGGAGATGCAAAGAGACTGGCGTAGCGCAGGCAATGAAGTTAGAATGATGAAGCAGCAAGCATGACGTGGAATTGTATGAGCATTGGGAAACTTGAAGCAGATGGAAGAAAGGCACAGGAGGGGGTGGGAGGAGAGTGGGAGGCGAAGGGCGTGTGGCGATGGCAGGCCAAGGCAGTTTGGCAGCGAGCGAGCTTGCAAGGGGGGACTGGGGTAGAGGGGGACGCGGGCATGAGGATGAATGCATTCTAACCACCTACAACTCTACTCTACATGCGCTCAGCTGCCTTGTGCCACGGCCCACCATCGCCACACGCCCTCACACTCATAACGCACTCCGATTTCGCATAAACAACAGTGCGTCAAATCAATACCAGGAAAAGGGAATAGGTGCACTTATCAGAAAGTAGCTGCGGGCGAAAGGCTTCGCTTCGCTATAGACGCTCTCCGTCGCTCGTCACTGAGGCGCGTCGCTCGCCGTTCTTCGTTCGCAGTTCGCCGTGCGTCGGTGCTCGCTGGTCGCTCGGGCGCCGAGCGTCGTTGCTCGCTCGTCGCTCGGTCGCTATGGCAGACGCCGTCACTCGTCGTGCGCTGCTCGTCGTCCGTCAATCGCCATCCGTCTCTCAAACGTTGCTTGCCGTCCGTCAATCGTCGTCGCTGCTCAGAGTTTACGCCCGACTCCTCAGACTCGTGCTCCTTCACCGTCGTAGTTCCCGCTCGTCGCCGTTCGCGAAAGGAGTTCTCAAGCTGCCCGAATCGCCTTGTCGTTTGCCGTCAGTCGAATCTCAATCGCCTTGTCGTTTGCCTTACAACTGAACCATCGCTGCAGTCGAATCGTAATCGCAGACGCTTGAGAGCTGATGTCGACGCCGGCGAGCGCGACGACTCTCGTCCGTGACAGCACGCAAGATGCGACGTCTCGCGTCGTGAGCAGCACGGCGATTCACCAAGATGCGACGTCTCACGTTGTGAGAAGCATGCGATTCACCAAGCTGCGACGTCGCGCGTCGTGAGCAGCACGCGATTTACCAAAATGCGACGTCCCGCGTCCGTGAGCAGTGCGCGATTCACCACGTCACGAAAGCGACAGCCGATGGAATGATCGCGTGCATCTGACAATCTCGAACCCGCCGATCACCACCACGCTCCTCCACTGCTCCAGACGGCGATGACCAAGATGCGACGACTCCAGACTGCGACGACCAAGATGCGACGACTCCAGACGGCGACGACCAATACGCGACGACTCCAGACGGCGAGTATCAAGATGCGACGACTCCCGTGTGCAGGACGCGATTTGACAGAACACGACATCTCTTGCCTTGAGCGGGACGCGATTCAGCTGAATGCGACGACATCACGAAGGCGAGCGTCACGGGAGCGTAATGGAGTATGAAGTACTGCTATTCTTGAAACTGCTACCGTCGCTTCTCCCAGGTAACAGTGGTCGTGGAGGTCTTACTGCTTCGCCATCAGGTTCGTTACGCCTCAGAGTATAACAATCTGATCGCGTTTGTCGTGTCGCTATCGCCGTCAATATTATCTTTTTATCAGACACGCCGTTGGATGGCTCTCTTAATCGATCGTCACCGTCGTACACACCCCGTCAACGACTAGCATAACGAACGTGCAGCTCTGTCGACGATCTATGTGACGCCGTCGCCACAGCCAGCGCCATTGTTAAGTAGCAAAATCCGTTTCCGAGAACTTATGAAAAACATCACCTCTGATACTTATAGCGATGAATAGTCACGGGAAACAAACTATCTGGCGGTTAACGGATGGTAAGGTCTTTTGAGTTCAGCTACATCAACCATGGGAACTCCTACCAACACGAAACGTGCTGATCATTCTGCTGTTTTTTAGCGATACGTAGTAGTGGCTGCTAAATCTGAGGTACTTGATGAGCCATGGATCCAAGGACGCCTTGAATATAAGAAGCTGCCATGAAAACGAGCAGAGCGGAGAATTCCTAAGCTGCCATGGACTAGGACATTCAGGGAAGAACCGGACTAGTCACTAGGATAGCATGGTGACAGCAATTCCTAGGTGAGGAGGGAGAAGAGGATGCCAGGGGGGTGGATGTGTGAAGGCCAGGAAGGCGGAACGAGCAAACAATCCCTTCCGCTGCTCATGGATTGCCAAACAGGCGGAACAATCTTGTTGTTAGTTTCGCGAGCTGGATCTAAACGAAAGGGTTACACGTTCGCTACTGGAAAAACATCTCCTGGCGAACGGGACTAAGATTTCGTTAGCAGTTACTGAAAATTGCCGAGTTTCAGCCGAGCGGGTTTTGGCGTCTTTGCGCGCGAGCCGCCCAATTGAGCGGTGGCACCTGACAGCCGTGCCAGTGATGGCGGGAAATCGGTTGGTCTATCCATCGCCTCACGCCAACTTGATCGAACAGCGAGATTGTTCCTGAGCCCAAGCCAATCTGCGTCGCATGGAACTTAATGCATGCCAATAAGCTTTATACATTCTGTGTGAGCTGTACTGATCTTAGGGTGAGTAGCTTTCGCAGGGGTACTACTAGCGACCCTGCGCTTTCAAGGGGACTACAGTGCTATATGCGGGCACTTTCCGCCACTCCGCCACTCCGACAGGAACATTATGGCAACAACACAGAACTCGGTCCCACATTCACCCACGTGTCACAAATTTCGCAAGCCACTGGAAAAAATATCCCTTTACCTGACCGAAAAAAACTAAAACCCAATCGGTAAGGGATGCGTCTCGGGGAGGCATCAACCCTAAAAAAAATGTGGGTTCCCGTGTTTAGGGTTGATCCCTCCCGAAGATGAGTCCAGGTTCCCTATGGGTTTTATTTTTGTTTGTCGTGGGTTTTCTAACTTTCAAATTTGTGACACGTGGGTGAATGTGGGACCTAGTTCTGTGTTGTTGCCATAATGTTCCTGTCGGAGTGGCGGAGGGGCGGAAAGTGCCCGCAACTAGCACTGTAGTCCGCTTGAAAGCGCAGGGTCGCTAGTAGTACCCCTGCGAAAGCTACTTACCCCTGATCTTACTTCCATACCGTACGATTTGGTTTTGTCTAAACAGTAGTGTCTTTAGTCAAGCAGGTTCCAATCCAACATGCACATGTGGCAAATGAATATACTTATACCTATAGAAGAACAGAAAACATATACGGTACTGTATACAAAATCATATACCGTACATATGATAGAATAGACCCTGCTCACAAAAGCAGTTGCTGCAGGAAAGATCCAAAGAATCTGACCAAACAAATCCTGCAGTTCCTTCCACCACGGATATGGTGGAACCAAGAATCTGACACATGCTTCATTCGTCGAACCTCCACCAGCATCCAGTAGGCCAAAGCCCCCTCCACTCCACTGACCAGCCATGCCCCACTCACTCCCAAGGCCAGCCAGCAACTCCGTCACTCCCAAGGCCAGTCGGGACCGATGCCAGTGCAGCCGGAATCGCACTCAGTGCTGCAGCATCATTAGCAAAAGCATTCCCGGCAAAACCAACACCGGCAAACACATTACTGGGGAAACAAATCCTCCCAGGCCCAGGAGCCGTCATGATAACCCTCTCTAAATCAATTACCCGTCGCTCCAAAGTATCTACATACCCTACAGCTCTGTCCAGCATCGCGCATGTATCCCCTCGCCCCCGCACCTTCACCCTCAGCCTCTGCAGGCCCTCACTAATCCTCTCCCTCCTCCGCCGCTCCGCCATGCTCCGGCTCTTGATCCTCTGGTTCGGCGCCGAACCTGCCCTGACGCCGCCCTGGCACCGAGGCAACCACTCGTCATCTGTGCCACACTCGTCTTGCATGTTTCCACGGTCGTGGCCCTTGGGATCATCCAAAGCATCGTCCGGGCGGCACTCATCGTGCACGTCGCATGCGCGGCCGTTGGTCCCGCTCTCGTACCTCACCGCACGCTCATCCCGAGGCGATTTTTGGGTCAACTCTAAAGTCACGTCGTCTTCCCTTGTGCAAATGCCTTCCAGCACACCACTCTGGTGGACCCTCACATCTGGCACCGGGATATGGGGGTTAACGTTAACAACCTTGGCAGGGCCCAGGATAGACGCCCCTACAGCAGGGGGTCTCTCTGGGTTCGCCTGAAAAAAAGAGGCGCTGCCCGGCCCAAGCACGCTCCGGCTGTAGCACGCATGGGAGGTCTGCCTGGCGTGCTGCTGCGTGTGAGCGGCTGTAGCGCAACCAGTGGGGCGCTCTGGGCTTTTCCTCTTTTTCCCAGCGTCGCTCGCTGAGTTGGTGCCACTGCTGCTGAAAAGGCTACTGTCGGTGCCACGCGCTCGCACCATCACATTGCTATTGTAGATCCCGTTGCTCATGACACTGCTGGGGTTGGCGCCACTGCCACGCAGAGCAAACTCCATATGTCGCCCTCCCATGTCGCCCAACCGACTAGCACCACGCAGAGCGCCATCTGGGCCGTATCTAGGAGCAAAGGTAGAAGCAAGGGCGGTCTCCACTTGCTTTGCTGATGTTCCGGCCTCTGGAAGAGCCGAGAAAGCTGACAGCCAAACCTCCTCTTTCCCTCCTTCCTCTCGCTGCTGCTGCTCCTGCAGCTGCTGCTCCTGCCGCTGCTGCTCCTGCTGCTCCTGCTCCTGCTGCTCCTGCTGCTCTTGCACGTGTGGCGCCTTGGGGACCCCTGGCTGCTTTTGACTCACCGCCCTCTGCCCCTTCTGCCGCTTGCATACGCTCTGCTTCTGCGTCTGCTTCAGATCCTTCTTCTGCTGCTGTTTCTGCTTTTGCTTTTGCGGTGGAAGCTGTTGCTCCTCCTGCTGCTTGAGCGTCAGCAGGAGAGCCATGAGCTGCTGCCTCTCGTCCTCGCTGCCTCTCCCCATCTGCAGCCTCGCCATCACTCGGCCTGACAACACTGCTTCCCCTCCCTCTGTCGCTGCTTTTCCCTCTCCCTCTGCCTCTTCCTCTGCCTCTGCCTCTGCCTCTGCCTCTGCCTCTGCCTCTGCCTCTGGCTCTTCCTCTGCCTCTGCCTCTTCCTCTGCCTGCTGCTGCTGTGCATGCTGCAGTCGCAGGAAGCGTGCGAGGTGCGAGAGCCCAGCCAGCATGCGCTCTATCTGCACCTCGCCGCTCGCCTCTTGCACTGCAGCAGCAGCATCAGCATCCCCTGCAGGCTTATTCAAGTCGCGCAACTCCTCCCCCGCGCCCCCTCCACTCCGAGGGATCCCCACATGCCGCATCCCCATGGGCGCGGGTCGTCCCTCCGGCCCGCCCACGCAAGTCAGCAACGGTTCAATCAGCGTGTGCGGGTGAACCAACGCCTCCTCAACCTTGGTCTCTCTCATGATGAGAGACGGCTGTGTCTGCAGTTCCACAAATGCCGGTTGGTTGACCCGCAACGAGTCTCTCTCGTGAAGGCGAGGGCAGCTGGGCGACCAGACACGCCGCGGCGGCCGCCCTCTAAGATGCTCTGGGATCCAACGCTGCGAGGCCGGCGGGAGCGGGAGTGGGGGCGTGGTGTGCGGCGGCAGCGCGAGCGGCGAAGGGAGGTCGTCCAATGCGAAGAGCGCAGCAGCGAGAGAGTCCGACGTGCAATGGACGAGAGAGTAGGACGTCGTCGCTCCGGCGGTGGTGGGGGTGGTGGCGCCGTCGCAGTTGAGCACCACTGTGCTGTTATCGTCCGCCATAGATTTGGCTTCGGGCGACGCGTAGCAGATGGAGTAGCAGGTGGAGGCGGGTCGATTACTAAAAGTTAGCTCTAGTAGAGTAGGGCGACCTTCACTTTTGAGAATTCGAAGAAGGCGACCTTTCAAGAAGTGGCAATCGGGAACTCAGCGGTTGAGCGTGTGAGAGCCTGTGTGAGCCTGTGAGCGGGCCTTGTGATGCTGAAATGAGTAACGGACGATGATGTGAGGAGATCGGTCGCGATTTATCAGTAGCAGTCAGCACAACTGGCTTGTATTGACAGAAAGACGAAGCGGAGCTTTGTCGGGAGAACAACTCTCTCTGCGAGATGTTACTAATCCTGGAAAGCATATAACGCTGGCCTCGTGATCTTTATCGATTTAATTCGATTCAACCCGGATTTCGCGAACAAACTGACCATTTGCGGGACACGTGAGGGAGTGAGACGGGGGATGCGTTTGCGAGAATGTTTACTGGAAAACGAATCGTATCCTAACGTGCAGGCGACACTCTTTACCGCGTTTGTTGCAATCGCGGCGCCACCCCACCATCGCGTGATCCTTCCCTGGGCCGGGCCGGGGACGGGTCTATTGTTGAGTCGACTCGAAAATGGGCCGGAACGGGTGTCCCGTCCCACTCCCACGTAATTGTGGGCGCCCCGACGACGAGCTTTCGCTGTGGCACTCTCGCCGCATGTTCTTTTCGCCAGTCAACCGCCATCACAACAATTCCACCACTAGTGGTTGGATGAGTAGCAAGCAGCTTGCTTGCTGATGTGTCGGTACTAGAGCCTGAACCCCACCGACAGTGGCAATCGACTGTATCACATCAGAGATTCGAATCGATGTGCGCTGGCAACGGTCAACTGCTCCGCACGCTGCAATTCATGATGAAACGCGCTGGAATCTACATGGTGGTGTGAGCTGGAAGCTTGAGTTGAAAGTTAGTGAGCTAGCTGCAGGGCAGTGAGACGAGAAGATAGTGAGCAGCCAGGACGGGAAGCCACTGAGCTGGAAGCGACAGCTTGACCCTAGTGGAAGGCCGACATGGAAAGGAAACTACTGAAGAAGCCTGGGAGCGAGCCCAAGCGAAATCGGTTCACTGGGGAGGGGAGGCAACGCGGCAACAGGAGATTACCGCATACATCCTCGGTTTTGTGAGTTTTTGTTCGGTCTTCAAGGCACTTCTGACCTACCATGATCATCACACCAACCCTCCCAGGCCAGAATCAGAACGAGCACTGCTCACGACGCACCATGAAAGCTGGCGAAGTTGCAAGCATCTCGCGACAGTGCTGTCGATTGGAGTGGCGATCGTCGCCAAAAATGGTCTTCGAAGTACTGCTAGGAAGTTACAAGCCGCATGTGCTTCGCCAATGCCCACGTGATCCACGTGTTCGTCCACCCCATTGATGAGTCAAATCCAGCAAGCTTGGGTGAATGACGGTTGAGGGCGATTGCATCATCTGTACGCTTTTGAATTACTTCTGCCACACCATGCCAAGTAAAATGGCAAGAACGAATTTTCTAAATCCTTTCCAGTAATTCCATTTCCACTATCCTTTCATATTTTGGGCCAATACTCATTGAGGTCGGTACTCAGTTAAAATATGCTTGCACACGAAGAATTTCAATTTAAAGCCCGAGTCCCAAATTGCTAGGCGCGATGGTCAAGCTTTTAAAACTTGAAGGTGAGGAGCTTGAAAACTTGAAAGAAGTGCACCTGCAATTTGGGACTTTCGAGCTCCCACCAGGGGGGAGTCGAGGATTGGCTGTGTGTTACGAAAAAAACGAGATTGACCAAATATATCCTCTCGCCACAACCCAAAAACTGAACTTCCCCCCCCCCCAGGGCCTCAGAAGTCAGGATTTTTACCCTGATTTCCTGATGTTTTAGGATGTATTTTTGAAGTGACCCTGATCGTTCAGCCTTTTATTTTTAACGACACTGATTTTTCAATATGTGTGTGTGTGTTTTTTTTTTTTTTTTTTTTTTTATTCCAACACTGTTTTTTCAGTGTTTTGCGATTTCTGACACTGATGAGTCAGTGTCAGGGTCCACGATATCAGGGCAAAACATCCTGATTACCCTGATTTCATGATGGTATTTTTAGGTTGCCCTGGAATTTCAGAATGACGCTGAAATTTACCCTGTAACTTCAGGATGATTCATGTGTTTTGCCCTGAAATTTCAGAATGGTAGTGAAATTTTGCCATGAAGCGTTAGGGTGAATGTAGAGGGATGCCTTGCCTCGTGGGAAGGGGAAGAAGGGGTGGAGGGGGGGGAGAGGGGGAGAGGGGAGGAAGGAGGCTAGGGGGTGTGTGTGCTAGTTTTGTCCCCACCCCTCCCCCTCCAAAGTTTTTGCTCAGCCAGTTGTAGTGAAACCACTGAACAACTTGCTCCTCTCGTGCCTTCCCCTCCACTCCAGTGTCTTGTATTTTTTGCCCTGAAACATCTAGATGAATTTCTGCTGTTAGAATAAGCAGGCAGGAATGAATGAACTATGAATGAGTTGGGTACAGGTACTAACCCTAAAGTGTTGTACCCCTTGTAGGCTAACCCACTATAGCCTAGGAAGAACACAAACATATAGTTTGACACACCCCCATTGGCTAAGTGGGAGAGAGCAAACACAACAGACGGTCACAAGACCAGTCAAGCAAGAGAACAAAGCAAAGCAAAGCAAAGCTCAGGGTGGATCTCAAGATCACCACGCATTCTGAGCACAAGCAAGTGGCCACAAAGCAAGTTCACATGCAGAGTTATAATAGCAAGGTAGTACACTGATCACAACCTAGCAAGAGTAAACAAGCAGGTATAAAGATATATATATCAGTGTACAACAAGAGCAAGTCAAGCAACCAGCAGGTGAGGCAGAGTGGGCACAAGCCCAAGAGCAGTGCAGAAACGCTGATGATCACCAGACCCAAGGGCCTTGGTGAAGACATCAGCAGTGTTGGCCCGAGAGGCCACGTAAGCAAGGCGCAGCTGACCACGCTGCTGCAGCTCATGCGCAAGGAAGTAGCGAAGAGCAATGTGCTTCGTTTTGTGCTCCAGTCTCTGCTCGCGACACAAGGCAAGCATTGCCTTGTTGTCGACGTACAGAACTGGAGGAGAACGAGGCCGCTCCCCCAAGTCGGTCAGCAGGTAGGTCAGCCAGCGTAGCTCCTGTGCAGCCATGGCCCCAGCGTAGATCTCGGCCTCACAGCTGGAACCAAGCACAGAAGAAGAACGAGTGGACCTCCACGCGACAGAACCAGAGCCAAGACTGAAGGTGTAACCCTGTGACGAACGCTGAGTCGCCTGGTCATCGGCCCAAGAAGCGTCAGAGTGTCCTGTGAGTACCACTGAACTCCGTCCTCCAAGCACGAGCCCCATGACCGATGTACTGCACAAGTAACGCAGTACCCTCTTCGCAGCATCAAAGTGCACCTTTCGGTGTCTACCGGGTGCCACGTAGCGAGCCAGGAGGCTGAGAGGGTACGCGAGGTCAGGTCGTGTGCACGTCATCAGGTACATGAGGCAACCCACAAGCTCTGGGTACGGACCACTCGGCTCTACGAACTCGTCCAAAGGTGGAGCTGAGAGTGAGTGGCCGGTAGACAGAGGAGTGGGCTGTGGCGAGGACCACATGAAGCCGAAGCGCTGAAGGACCTGGTGCACCATGTGTGACTGAGTGAGGGTGATGGTGCGCCGTGCTCTGTCCCGGGTGATCTGCAAGCCAAGATAGCTCCGCAGCTCACCCAGGTCAGTGCATGTGTGTCTCTCCTGCAGCTCCGCCTTCACTAGGGCCAGTGCCTCAGTGTCAGCAGTAGCAAAAACCAATTTGTCGACGTACACGAGGATGTAGAACGCCGGCAGAGTAGTGTCGGTGCGTAGAAACAGCGACGGGTCAGCAGTCGAAGGAGCAAACCCAAGAGCCGCAAGTGTCGTCCTCAGTGTGTCGTGCCACTCGCGGGGCGCCTGCGCAGGCCGTACACTGGTCGCCGTAGGCTCCACTGGGTACCCTCAGGAAACGACCCAGTGAAGCCCTCTGGACGACGCAACCAGATGGCCTCGTGAAGGCTACCCTGCAAGAAATCTGTCGAGAAGTCGAGGGAGTGCAGCTCGTAGTCACGCTGAGCTGCAACGTGTAGCAACACCCGAAGAGTGGTCATCTTCGGGGTGGGGGAGAAGGTTTGGAAGATGGCGACCCCCTGTCGCTGACTGAAGCCTCGAGCAACGTAACGCGCCTTGAAGGCAGGCGGAGAACCCGGCGGCCGCTTCACTCTGAAAATCCACATGCCACTGACGATGTTCGCCCCAGGTGGGGGAACCTCGTCGACGTAGGTGCCTGTGGACTTCCAGGAAGCCATCTCTGCGTCCATGGCTGTCTGCCACTGAGAGGAGTACTCACCCGAAATCGCCTCTCTGTAAGAGCGCGGGGTGGGGATGTCAAGTGCATCCGGGTCTCCCTCAGGAGCAAGCAGCATGGTCGCGAGATGGGTTGCAGCGGCCGCAAGGCACTCCAGCTCCTCCTGTCTGTCCTCAAGAACGTCATAGCCAAGGGCAGTACAGCCAAGGGCAGTCTCACCCCCGGCGGACGGAGGACACGCAGGGACAGGGTCAGAAACAAGACTCGCAAGGTAGTCTAGGCGGTACAGAGCAGCAAAGTCAACGAGCTCAGCGACTAAGGCAGAAGCAACAGGAGACGAGAACGAAGGGTCAGTCACCACCGTAGCAAGAAGGCGAGTAACAGTCGGACTGGACGCACGAGCAAGGTCAGACGGAGGGTTAGCAACGTCAGGAAGAGAGGACGCAGGAGGTAACGGCAGGACAACATGCTGTGGAACAGAGGAAGGACGGAGTCTCATATCGTGAGTGCCTGGGACAGCCGGAGCACGCTGACGACGAACACGAGGAACACGAGCACGGACAGCAGCTCTAGGCTCGGGCTCAAGGTCAAAGCTGGACTCAGGCTCTCGACGCTCAGGGGTGGAAGCACGAGTCTCAGGCTCTCGAC